CCAAATTTAGGGGATTTTCAGCTATTATTTCTTTGAATACTTTTTCAGCCCCACACTCTTCTCCTCTCCTTCTGGGACTCTGAAGACAGGAATATGCAGTCTTTTGTTACAGTCCCACAGGTCTCTGAGTCTCTCTGTGTTTTGTTTTGTTTTTTCCCAGTCTACTTCTTTCTGTTCAGATTTTGTCATTTCTCTTACTCTGTTATCAAGTTCACTGAGTCTTTCCTCTGTCTTCTCCATTTCGTTGGTGACCTAAGCCACTGGTTTATGTATTTTGGTTATTGTGTTTGTTCAGTTATCTCAGGTGAGTATTTTCCCAAACTAAAATTTCCATTTGGTTCTTCTTTATGTCTTCTGTTTATTTGCGAAGACTCACTGTTTTTTCATTTATTTCACGTGTGTTCATAAATGCTCATTGAGGCATTTTTATGATGGCTGCTTTAAAATCATTGTCAGATAATTCCAACATTTGTGTTATCTCAGTACTGGCCATCTGTTAATTGTCTTTTCTCATTCAAGTTGAGATTTTCCTAATTCTTGGTATGATGAACAATTTTCAATTGCATCCTGGATGTTTTGGGTATCATGATATGAGACACTGGATCTTATTCTAATCTTTTTTAGCAGGCCTTCTCTGATACCACCCTAGCAGGGAGTTTAGGGGTGCCCTATAATAGCCAGTGGAGAATAGAAATCTAGGCCCCCACTTGGCCAATGCTGGTGGGGGTCGAGGGAATAGAGCCACAGTTTTTTTCTGTGATGCTTGGCTCCAGTAGGGCAGTTAGTATGTAAACATTTCCTGTTTTGCTAGACTGCCCCTTTTCTGATTCTTTGACTAGAGAGAGCAAACTCTTTCTACCCTGTGCTTCTTTGGCATTTCCAGGTTGCCAGCTTCTCCAGCATACAATCTGGGCTGTATGAGACAAAAACAAACCCCAGGAATCTCGCCACTGTGCTGTACCTCTGGTCCCAGTCTGCCTTTTCTCTCTACATTTTAGAGTCCTCTTGCATTTGTTTCAGGTACAATGTCTAGCGTTTTTGGCAGCACTTAGCGGAGGGGGGTGGGGGGAATAGGGAGGAGTGCATCTGCTTCATCCTGTCCCAAACTGGAAGTCCTTAGAAATTTTAATAAGTAATAAAGAGCAAATAAATGTGTAAAAATTCAATAGGTTGAATGATTTCTAGTTTTTTGTTTTTGTTTTTTCCGATTTTACTTGTCTAATAAATTAGGTGAATTAAATTTCATTATTTTTTATTCAGAAATTAGACTTTTGTAGATTGGACAAAATTTTGCAAGGCAAATTACCGGAGCAGTCCACAATATGCGTATGGTATTGTAGGGAGAGTGCCTGTTTTCTAGCATTACCCTTGAAATTTTTTACATTTCTTAAACTCCAAAAATATATACTACCTGATGGAAAACTACTCACCTGAGATAATTTGAGCTCTTTCTTGGACCCAGATCTCTTTATACTAATTTTTAAAGCAGACCATGTTTCTAACTTATGTGCAGAGTTCCCATCCTGGCAAGTGGTTATCATTTGACTTTAATGTAATCTCTCGGATAGATCCCTTAGAAGGAGTCTGTTGATTTCTAGCTTAGAAGTCCCAATGTTTTATGCTGGGGCATTTCCAATCTTCTTGGGTAGCCCTTGTAAACTAAATACACACAAACCATCAGACAATACCAGCCTGTGACAATGGCCACCTTTAGATACTGGTCAGGCTGATTTCTAGTGTCTTAGTCATCTTTTAAAGAAGGTCTTTGTGACTCTTTATCAGCCATCACAGTTTTGCCATTTCATTCTATCCTTGTATAGTTCTAGTCCTAAAAGAAACTTCTCCCCAATCAAGAGGTAAAAGAATCTACGTGAGATGCCCAGTTATACAGAGGCCCAAGACATTTTTAATTGAACAGTTTTCACTTATTCTCCTGCTTACTTCTACCATGTTAACCACAGTTAGATGGTACAACCCAGAACTTGGGCCTAAATCTATCCATTTGATTAATCAGTATCACAATTCCTATTTTTAGGCTGAAAGTTGTCCTACTCTCTGGCCTAGTTTTTAGATTTGTATAATTTTATCACTTATGAGTTATCTGAAATTCAATCCTCTGCACATTAGTGTCATATACCAAGAATATCTGTCTCAAATTAATCCTCCTAAATTCAAAGCTTTGCATAATCTAGGATCACCTCTCTACCCTTTTGCCCCACTTTTCCTCAGAAACAACTTTTTTCTGAAGGCAAGTTTGTCTCCTTAAAATCTTCCCAATACCATTCATAGTTTTTCCTCTAGCCATACCTTTTCCTCTGATTTAAATATCTTTGTTCTACTTTTCCATTTATGTACACTCTGTTTATTAATTACAGCACAGATCAAATCCCACTACTTCAGATTTTCTAGCTTTCTATGATTACTCCAACATACATCAACCTCTTTCTCACCTAACTCTATTAAAGTTACTGAATATACATAAAATTAGCACCTTATTTTTTTAATATGTAATAGTCTGTAACTCAGTTCAGTTCTCCTAGTTTCAGAAAAGATTTATTAAGCACCCTACTCTGTGCAAAACTGTATGAGAGGAGTATCAAAATGAGCAAGACTTGATTCCATCTCTCAGGAGTTTATTATATATAATCTTAGTCTCTGATTTGTATATAGTTTGAGTTTTTATATATCTTTACTGAACTCATAATTTAAATAGCCCACTTAAATTAATGAATTTATTAATATCTTCTACGTACAAGACATTGTTTATGGTGCTCAGGAGGTTCAAGAGAAATTTTGGGAAGGCAATCTGTAGTTGAATCCCAAATGAGTATCACAGAATTATTATAGTAGTTCAGAATTCTTGGATGAGCCTGTCATTTTGCAATAAATTTGGCATGACATTTAGATTTACTTTAATTGTGATTAATGATTCATTCTGCTACCTTGATGTTACATAATGGTCAATAAGAGCCTTCAAAAGGATGTTATCTCTGTGAGCCCTTTCCAGATTGATCAGAAAGGATTTATCTAGATTACTATTCATGACAGTGCCAAGAACCACCTTAAATCCTTTTTGGAGCAAAGTAGTATATGTATAATGAATAAAAATCAAGGCTAAATAGATTTACCTTTGTCTACAATTCTTACAGTATGCTTTAATACATGTAGTCTATACATACCTAGCTATGATAGCACTGCCTTCACCACTTAAAACTGTGTCACCTTGGATGAGTTATGTGCCTGTACCTCACTTTTCTTATCTGTAATTAGATGTAATAATAGTAACTACTTCATAGGGTGATTGCAAGGATCAACAAGATAATAGACATAACCTATACCCCGTTGCTGTCAAGTCAGTTCCAACTCATAGCGACCCTGTAGGACAGAGTAGAACTGCCCCATAGGGTTTTCAGGGAGCAGCTGGTGGATTTGAACTGCCGACATTTTGGTTAGCAGCTGAATGCTTAACCACTGCACCACCAGGGCTCCGTGTGTAAAGTAGACTCATTAAATGATAGCTGCTGTCATCATCAACATCATCATTATTACTACTAATCCTGTAGAGGGTTCTGTGACTGCTACTATGGCTACTGTCATTTCACTCTGTTCTTATATTTGCCTAATTTTAACATTTTTCATCTGTAGTTACCTAGCTACCTGTGTATCATGACGAAGTATTAGTGTTAAACTCTAAATTCCTAGAGGGTAATTAGTCTACATACTTATCCTTGTATGGCATTTCGCATAGTTAGTTGCAATTGTAAGAACGTCTTTTGACAGTGATGAAAATGACTATAGTGTGTTAAAAATGTTCTTACTTCTTCATAGTTTGGTTTCATAGTTACAAGATATAGTTTAACAGATAACCACAGAACATGTCCAAAAAACTGGAGGAATAGGAATGGGCAATAAGTGTCACATAGTTGATATCAGTGATTAATTGATACCCAGTCTCCTCGTAGACTTCATGTCATGCTCATTTCTTCAACTGCCTTCCCTTCTCAGTATATGTGATGGTAGGGCTAAATTAGTATTGATGGATAGATACAATGTCTTCCGGTTCTTTTGGGGGAGTTTATCTGTGATCCAGAGAAAATATGTTGTTAGTTATTGAGCTGTAGTCCTAGATCTTTGTATTGTCAATATGAGACAGGGGTGCCTCCCATGTATGTGTTTGGTAGGGTTAGCGATACTTGTTGTTAGGTGCCATTGAGTCGATTCTGACTCATAGCAACACTGTGAACAACAGAACAAAACACTGCCCACTTCTGCACCATTCTGACAATCGTCGTTATGCTTGAGCCCGTTGTTGCAGCTCCTGTGTCAGTCCATCTCTTTGAGGGTCTTCCTCTTTTTCACTGACCCTCTACTTTACCAAGCATGATGTCCTTCTCCAGGAACTAATCTCTCCAGACAACACGTCCAAAGTAGGTAAGATGTAGTCTCGCCATCCTTGCTTCTAAGGAGCATTCTGGTTGTACTTCTTCCAAGACAGAACTGTTTGTTTGTTTGGCAGTCCCTGGTATATTCAACACTCCTCTCCAACACCACAATTCAAAGGCGTCAACTCTTCTTTGGTCTTCCTTATTAATTGTCCAGCTTTCGCATGCATACTTAGAGTTACTAAAATTCACACGCGTACTTAAAGTTACTAAAATTCCCGTTTAGACTCTAGTGATCAAAACATACTTGCTTAGCAGTGGATAGAGGGAAGCTTCACATTTAGTGCTTAGCGCTCCTGAAGTATCTATAATTTTGAGTATTTAAATTATTTTACTCAGTGTTCTTCTGCTCCCCGTAAGTAAAGAGAATTTAAATTTCTATGAAACCAATTTGTGTTTACGTGTATTTAAGACGTCCTTGTTTATTTTTGACAAATTGGGTTTTAGTTTGAAAATAAGTTGCTGGCAATGTAGCTGGAAGGGCATGGTCATCCAAGGGTTACTATTCAGCTTCTTAAGTTGTACAAGATTAGAAATTCTCTAAATTTACCTTTACAGGTTAAAAACTAAAGCTATGTTTAAATCGAGAGACATGGCTGTTGATGAAGAGCTTACTAAACCTCGAAAACTCAGTCTGGATATGAATGGGAGTGACTCTGGACCAAGGTAAACCTGAGGGGCTAGTGAGGGCAAGAATATAAAGGACACAGGTATTAAGGATGTGTTTGGTACATATTTATAACTCTATATTGGTAAATTCAGTTTTCTTATCATATGATTAATATATTTTTGTTATGAAATTTTCAAAAATATAAAAGTGTAAAGAAGAAATAAGATATAAAAACAAATGTGAAGAAAATAAACATCATTCATAATCCTATCATTCAAAGGCAATCTTTTGAGCCTTTTTTCCCTGTCTATCTTTCTTTGTATAATACTATCTTCTATATTGAGTAATTGGGATTATGCTATACAGTTTGATTTTTTGCTTTTTTCATTATATCAGATTTTCTGATGTCATTAAATTCTTTCTGAAAACGTAATATTAATTCATTCATTCAATAAATATTTATTGTTTGGCAACTATGCCCCAATATTTATTTATCAGCCCGTGACTGAATAATGTAGGGTTTTGCTCTTATACATTATGCTTTGCAGAACATTCCTGTAAGTAAATTTTGTACTTTATCTCTACCTATTTCCTTGGTGTAGATTCTTTAAATGGAATTACTAGCTCAGAGAATATGTGAATTCTTTCAAGATTCTTGATTCACATTGCCAAATTGCTTTCCATAAAAGTTAAATCAATTTATACCCCGAAAACAGTGTTTGAGATTTCTCTTTTCATGACATTTGGGAAATTTTTGGCCATTATTTGCTTAAATATTTTTGGCCCTATTATCTTTCTCCTCTCCTTCTGGGGCTCCAATTACATGTATATTAGACTTTTAGATACTGCCTCACAGGTTCGTGAGGCTCTGCTATTTTTTCTTTCTAATCTTTTCATTCTTCACATTGGATAATTTCTGTTATCCATCCTAGAATTTAATGATTCTTCTGTTATCTCTAATCTGCTGTTAAGCCCATAAAGTTCTAGAATTTCCATTTGGTTCTTTGTTATAATTTCTGTTTTTCTGCTGAGATTTTCTGTTTGTTTACTCATTACAAGTATCTTTTCCTTTATGTTCTTGAGCATAGTTATAGTAGCTGCTTTAAAATCCTTGCCTGCTAATTCTAAGATCTGGATCATCTCGGGGTTGTTTTCCATTGATTGACTTTTCTCTTGAGTATGGGACTTGTTTTCTTTTCTTTATATGGCTAGTAATTTTGGATTGTTTCCTGGTCATTGTGCATGACTTTGGAATTCTGTTATATTTCTCCGAAAAGTGTTGATTTTCTTTGTGATAGTTGATTTTCTTCTCCCTCTCTTCCACATACATACTCATACACACACAATTTCCTTCCTCTGTCCTCTCAATAAGGAGCCCTGGTGGTGCAGTGGTTAAGCACTCAGCTGCTGACCAAAAGGTTGACAGTTCAAACCCACCAGCTGCTTCACAGGAGAAAGAGGTGGCGATCTGCTTCTATAAAGATTATATCCATGGAAGCCCTATGGGGTAGTTCTCCTCGGTTCTCTAGGGTCGCTAAAACGGGAAATGACTCAACAGCAACAGATCCTCTCAATACAGCCATATTACAATCTATTTACAATAAGACTGAGCCCTGGTGGCACAGTGATTAAGCACTTGGCTGCTAACTGAAAGGTTGGTGGTTCAAACCCACCAGCCACTCTGCGGGAGATAGATGTGTCAGTCTGCTTTGTTAAAGATTACAGCCTTGGAAACCCTATGGGGCAGTTCTGCTGTGTCCTATAGGGTTGCTGTGAGTTGGAATCGACTCAGCAGCAATGGGTTTGGTTTGGTTTTGGTTTATACTATTGTTAAGTTTCTTTTTTATTGAATAAATTATTTGTCCTACAGTTTATAAATTCCTTGTTTAACTTCCTATATACTCATTCGTTTATTCACCCAACAAATGTTTCTAACATTCCCCACCATGTGCTAGGTACTGCTGTAGGGTTTGGGGAATATAACAGGGCACAAAACAGACAAAAATGCCTGGTGTCATGTAACTTACATTCTTTTATCTTGTCATTCCCAAACTGGCCCAGAAAGTATAATTATCTCAATATATTCAAGCACATCCATTATTCTTTTCTTTTCCTTTGATTTTCTCTTCTTTTCTTTCTTTCTTTCTTTTTTTTTTTTTTTTAAATATATCTCTCCTAGAGTCCTCCATAATTCTGCTCTAGTCTGAACTGGTTATTCTCTAGGCTTGCTGTTAGATATTTCATCCTGAAATTTCTCTTATCAATCATTCTGGAATTTTTTTTTTTTTTTTTTTTACTTCTTCTCTGTGTTGCATTCTCTTTTTCCTAGATGTCCTCTTTTTTGTTTATACTCCTTCACCTTCCTGTAACATGCCCTTCAATAGCTTACTAAAAAGGAGTACAGAGGAGGTAATTTTTTTGAGACCTCACACCTCTGAAAAAGGTCTTTAGTTTGTCTTCATGTTTTATGGTTTAGCTAGGTATAGAATTCTGGGCTGGTGATTACTTTTCCTCAGAAGAGATTGGATTTCTAGTTTCTAATGTTGCCATTAAGAAGTTTGATGCAATTTGATTCTTTATC